TCCAAAATCATAATTATAGTAAAAATAGATCATTTCAAAATCCATCTAGTTGCTTATTATACAGTTTAGTTTAAAAAAAGTTTAAAATAGTTTATTTTTGTGTCACTGACATTACAATATACATATAAAATACATAATAAAAACAACATTTTGTAACATCACCAGCCGGTGCCGACTTATGAGACACAGTATACATTATATCTGAGTGTCACCCATTACTACCCCCAATGGGCAGCTTGGGTCAACACTCATAAAGACAGAGACAAAAAATGTCCCTGGTAAAAATTTATACATGATTAATAACCAATGATATAAATTCAGTCTGATTAATCAGTTTGGCATAAATAAATAAGCAGTTCATGGAATGATATTGTCAATCATTATATTAAATACATATATTGCACTAAATGAGAGTAGCATGTTGCATATGGTCAAAAATTACAATAAATACAAATATCGCACTAAATGTGAATTGTATCATGCATATGGTCGAAGACTGTTATAACAATAAATTCATATATTGCACTTAATGTAAGTAGCATGTTGCACTATGGTCAAATATTACAATAAATATAAACATTGCACTAAATGTGAAATACACAATGCATCGGTTGAAGACAAATATTACAATAAATACATGTATTGCACTAAATGTGAGATGCATATTGCATGATAAATACATATATTGCACTAAATGTAAGTAGTATATTGCATATGGTCAAATATTACAATTAATATGAATATTGCACTAAATGTGAAATACATAGTGCATATGTTTGAAGACAAATATTACAATAAATGCATATATTGCACTAAATGTGAGATGCATATTGAGTAATAAATACATATATTGCACTAAATGTGATTTGCATGAGCAGTGAATAAATAAAAAAGAACCCCATAGATAATATACACCTCTGCAGTAGTGAATTGAGACCATCTTCCCCAAGGTTGATAGCTCGAAGCACTAAAAAGAGGCATCATAAAACCAAGGAGTTTCTGACTAGATACATTTTAAATAAATATTTTATAAAGGGAACTTAGGTGACATGCATACTCATTTAGTGATTATAGCCTATCAATATTAAGAGATCTCTTATTGCACATATTATAAACTAAAGCTCCTAATGGTCTTTGGAGTGAAAAGTACAATTCATAATGGAGACAAAAAGAAGTGTAGAATTGGGTGATGTTACATCTAAATAAGGCAATTTCTGTTTAACATTTTCATAAAAATCACATCTTAGATCATCATAATGGCTACATTCTAATAAGAAATGCTTTTCATCTTCAATACAATTCATGTCACATAATAAGCATTTCCTTTCGTGTAATGGTATACCTGTGTAGCGCCCTGTTTCAATTGCTAAGGGTAAAGTACCAGTTCTGAATCTAGCGAGTGACCTACGGTGATGCTTTGGTAGGGCCAAATACCCTTCCTTGCAAACACCATATTTGTACAGTCTATATTGCCTCAATTTATTGCCATTAATTTCATTATTTCTATCATCCCATATGTAATGGATAAATTTATCAGAATTTCGAAGAGAGTTAGTAAACTGTTTTAAAATGTCCTTGGTATGACCAGTGAAATTTATATTACATGTATTTAACATTGAATTAACTTTAAAGTCCCAACTGCTTTTCCGTTTAATGGACCATTCATGTATTTTAAAATTCAGCCTATTCTGATTCATGGACTTCAGTTTAATGAACAATCTAGCACATTCCACCTTTTGTTTTAAATGTGGAGTGTCCCATCCGAGATCTCCTCTAACAGCCTCATTACTAGTGCGTTTGTTTACACCTAGAAAGAACTTGCCAGCTTTATTTTGAACATTGTTCAGGCATTGATGTTGGTTGAGGCCAAATATAGATGAACCATAGTTTAGTATAGGCTGGACTAAAGAGTCATATAGCTTGTTGTAAACTGCGAACTCCATACCCCCAGTTTGCTTGTATTTGCTGATAATTACACTCAGGGCTCTATTTGCCGATTTTGCAATTTCTCTGGCAGAGTGTGTTGAGTACACAGGTAAAGTCATATTCATTAAGAACTACGGACGGTTCTTACATTCTTTTGTTGTATTGTTTTATCATGCTTAAAAGAAAAATACGCACAAATATTCTGTTTTTTATTTGTATGCTCAGTTATAAAATGAGCAGTGTAACTTAGAAATAGCTTAATATAGTCAGAAAGAAGCAATTATAATGTGTGACTATATTGCACACTTACAAAGTATTGCGTTTGCATATATTTGAGTATTCTTAACTTCACATATAATCAGTGCTTATCCCGGGGTGCTTATATGTGCTGTTCTACAAATAAAGAGGAGCAATACCTGAATATACAGAGTGTTCCATATATGCAGCGAGTATTGTCTCTGTAATGTCTCTGTTTATATGTACTGAGTATTTTTGCTGATTACTGCTGATTACAAGAGCTTCTTACAAATAGACACTTCTTATAACCAAGCAATATTCTCTATTTTATATAGTGTATTTTGTTGTATGTGTAGCATTTTACAGTGATACCGAGCTAAGGATTTAGAGCATATTGTTCATTGTGATTACAACGTATAGTGATAAGTAAAATTGAATCTATTAAGCAGATCATGTTATTTACTTATGATGCATATTCTGTTTGTCTTGAAATGCTAAGCTAATGTGACACAAGAATTGGGATGATTGAGCAGTTCATAGTTTTATAAAAATCACTGACAAATATAGATGCACATTCCCCGATATTTCTTAATTTATAAACGTTTCGTTCAGTGTACCACTAGACGAAATGTATTTCTTGCCATTATTGTAAAACAATAGATATTTCATTGGGATAATCAGTTTTGTGACATTTTATTAATGTGCATAACTTCCCGAACTCTGATTAGTATATCTGTCTTACTTATCAGACCTTTCTGATGATATAAGAATATGGCACTCACCAACGCCGAGAAGTGCCGTCGTTCGTTACATACTACAGTACAGGGAGAGAAAGAAAATGAAAGATATCAAAGGCTACTTAGAGCAAGAACGATTACCACAGCGAGCATCGTATACACCAAGAAATAACCTGTCTATTGAAGCTCTTCAACAGATCAGAGAAAAGAACAACAAGGCATCCCGGGAATACAGGGCACGCATACACCAAGTGTATAGAGAAATAATCAAAACACGCCAGACTGAAGGGAACGCTCAGAGTCTAAAAGTGAAACTGCCAGGACACAAATGAAATCCAAGAAATCCCAGAACGCAACATTGAAGATAAGGCGACTGGACTTAAACCAGTACCAGGTACCTTTCGAATCAATGCTGTGAGAGGGGTTTCCGATAATATTGTTGAAACGCGAGAATATCGTGCTGTTGTGACGCATGCGGACCAGATACGTCATTCTCACCCTGTGGTTGGCAAAGGAACAACCTTATTACCGTTAGGAAGACCCAGCAGGCAGCTAAGCTGGTCACCGAGCTACCATCTTTAAAACCAAAACGGACCACACGACTAGCACACCCGACACCCAGTACGTCAAGTACGTAAAGCATCGACGCCCTCCGACGTTTCCACTCTTTCAACCACATTGAAGCGTCGGCCTTTAGTACCCCATCTACAAGTTCAAAGTCTTCAGACACAATTGTTTCCGCGAAGAAAAGGAGAGGTCCGATAAAAAGAACAGACACTGTAATATTTGCAAGGCATGCGGTGTCAACTATTATTCGTATTTACAATCGCAGTTCGAATGGATCAAGTGCTCTAAATGCCACGACTGGTTTCATGATTCTGGGAAATGTTCTCGTGTAAAGGGGATACTCATTGGAGAAATATTTACATGCTTTAATTGCAATAAAAGACGACCTTAAATGTGTAAATTATGTAAACGTTATTGTTTAAAAACCTAAGCGACCATCAGCGACACTGTTAAATAACACTTAATATCACAAGGAGGAGTGATTGACCTATTCGTAACAATGTTGTATTTGATGTAAGAAGACATGTGTGTCTAATTTGTACATTCATTTTATCGATCTACGAATTGACTTGGCATATTATTTAGCTTAGAAAACAAAATCTTGAAATCAATTATCTTTAGGGAAACTCAAAACAATGTATTTCAATGATTATCTTAATAAAATTATCTTGTTAAGATAAACAACAACTATTGCAATTTATTTTTGTTCATGTGATTAAATAATTCAAACTTAATACATTAGTTTATCTTTAAACTCAAAATTAATTTTGAAACATGAATCAATATAAGCCTATGTATGCACCATCATCGACACCAGCAATTTAAGAGTATATTTACGTTTTGATGCACAATCAAGTAATTGTTTAAAGGGTAATAAAAATATTTTGAGAAACTCTTCTTAAACCCCATGGCTAATGGTATATGCATTTATATCTCAATCTAAAATTTCATTTTTTCAACTTTTATATTGATCAAATGTGAAAGAGATTCGTGGCTTGAGTGTATAGCGGCTAGATTTGGCAGGAAAATTTCTTGAAAAAAAATCTAAGATTTAAAAAATTGCAATATGTTAACGATTTGCTCCCTGAATCTGAAGAAATTTCATCAGGTCCAATAGGTGTCATATTTTACTTGATTGGTTACTAAATCAAAGCAACTCAAAAACTGAAATATACAAACAACAATTAATGATGCATGGATATAGCGTCATAACTGCTTCATTATTCGTTTGTAATAAATTGCCTTATACGAATATTTATGTAACATTTACAAACAAATGCCTAAATTACAAATACATATATGATGTATCAAATAGACAAATAGATCTTGAAATCGGGTGCATTTTATGTTTGTAGGGACTAGAAATATTTGTAACTAATTATTATTCGCAAACTACAGCTTATAATTTGTAAATTAAAAAAAATGTTAGTTATTTTATCGAAGAAATGTACTTTTTACGAATAACAATCTTGCATATTACCCATGAATTATTGCAGAAAGCAAAGACATATTCGTACATTAGCGAATAACAAAATGAAACTTTACAAATATAAATGTGAGTTTACGAATACAAATGTGAGTTAACCTCTTGAATACCCAGAATGATGGATATATCTGTCACAAATAAAATCCATTTGGAACCCAGAACGACAGATATATCTGTCACAGAATTTTCCACTAAAACTGCTCTAACTTTGGCATTTTTTATCCAATCTTCACAAATTATGTATTAGAATGTATGTAATAGGCCTATGTTTACTATTCTCATGAAATCAAATATCAAACATTGTGTTTTTAGATGGAAATATCCAGAAAACTAGCAGAAAATGAAAAATGCTCTGGTTTCAAACCCTTTTTAGAGGCTGGTTTTCAAGAGGTTAACGAATATAAACTGCAAGTCTCGAGGCGTAGGTCATGTGACACGAGAGTTTTAAGTGTGTGTGGGGAGGGGATGATGACTTTGACCATGCATTGACCATGTCTCGTTGAGAATGATCACGTGTTCTCAATGAACCAATGAAAAACGAATATATAAGTGCAATTTACGAATACAAATGACAATCTTTACAAACAAAAATGTGCACTTACGTGAAAAGAAATAATGTCCAACACCCCCCTCCAACCAAGACCCAATATCACAATCAAGGACCAGAACACCAATGGACATTTTATCTATACTGAAGTCATTACAATACATGTTAAAAAACATACTCATAAAATAAAAGATAGTTGCAGATACTAGTACACATAAATACAATACAGCCTCGTTTGATGTGGGATAAAAATCAAAGGATCAACATCCAATCGCAGAGCCCTTGCAATAATCCATAAAATAAATAGTTCACAAAATGCTCATCAGGAGAAAACTATGGTTGGTTTTGATCCGTTTTCTCAAACTTTAATGCCATAATTAATCATCGTGTCTAAAAAAAAATTATTTATGACAAGGTTATATAGATGGCATAATGGTCATATCTGATTTACAAATAACATTTGCTAAAATGCAAAGCTTATTCGTATGGAATAAAAAACCAATTATGAATTTACCTGAGATACGGTATAACGCAAATTCACTGTCTACGATGTGAGTTTCCCATACTGGCCCGTAGCCAGGATTTGCCAAGGGGGTTCAGTTTTCAAAAATTTCCAGTGGAGGGTAATTTTGGTCCGAATATTGCTAAAACCACTTGAGAAGTGCTCAAAATGGTGAAAAACTGCATGATTTTGAAAGAATTTTTGGCCGGGGGGGGGGGGGTTCGCCCGAACCCTGCGAACCCCCCTGGCTACGGGCCTGCCATAGCTCAACAAATGCAAAATAATCTTCAATTGGAAAATAATGATCTGATTTAATTCTTGTCTGAGCATTGTCATCATGATAGCAATGTTTAGCACATTGGAACTGCTGAACTCCTTCTTTATTGGGAAGCAGGTTCTATGCATTTTCTAAACATATGTCATACTTGTAAATTCAATATTATAAAAATATTTTACTTTTAGATATGAATGAAAGTAAACTAATAATAACCTAAGACTTATCAATTAGATAATAAGTTCGAGTGCTTTGTTTTTTATGTCCGTAGTGCCTGGATTTGAAAAATACAACTTGTATTTATGAATTTGTAATTTGTAATTGGAATCTCTTTATTTATGATAATGAAGAGAGTGTGAGGGATAAACGTTAACTTTTAACTTAAACTAATGAGATCAACCGATCCTATAACTTGGACACGTAACAAAGAGGATACCGAAAGCATTGCCTTATATGGCAATGACCTCTGACAAAATTTCGTTTTGTGTTTATTAAATGAATTTGATTGGAAATTTGATCACTGATCCCATGACCTTACAAACTGCAGTAATTGATCCTGGCGTTGTTGGCGATGTTTCCTCACTTGCAAATCGTAGAGTAGAATTTTCATCATGATCAACTAACCCATCACGTGACCCATACAGGACGTGGTCAGTTTCTCAGTTCTGCAGATAAAAAGCCAGTTTTGTAAGTATATTTAAGATTTGAAATAAATAAATTATTTCGACAAAATATATTAAAATAATGTAGCATGTTATTCGTGTTTAAACAGGATAACATAATTATTAGGGAGTTAATTTGGAGGGATTGTAGAATTTCACTTTTCATATTTTGGACATTATTTTCTGATATAAAAGGGTGTCCAAAAAGTACTGCTGCTGGGATTTTGTGCGCTAATTCTGGTTGAACTTTCTGGATTCGAAAAATTTGAAGGTGTGAGAGTTGTAAAAATTAAATTGGGTTCGTGTAATTTTCCCATGAACTGAAATTTCTTACAAATTTATTTTGTGTCGGTGTCGTATTGAAAGTACAGCACCAGACTTTTGGGACACCCTGTATCTTATCCCGATATTCATTTCTTCTTTATACCATGGGTGTTCACGTCCCAAATGTATAAGGGTTGCATTAAAACGTTGAAATGACACAAAACCATCCACTTTACTGAAATGAAACATTCCTGCATTGTAAAAACCAATGTCACTGTAACCCTACTATCACACCAAACTAGTTCTCACTACGTTCTCAAAAACTCCCCTCACCATACCGTTCTGTTATCAGGTCATGTTGACCTTCTAGACTAAGGGACGCGTTCTACGACGTTGCACACCGACGTGGTGCGACCTGAACGAACTGCGAACGCGATGGACGTATTGAAGACTGTTTAAGAACGAAGAAGCTAATTATTTCAGACATATTTCCCGACCACTCCCAGATTGAGCCCGTTTTACGACGTTTTCGTAGGACTGGCAAGAACGGGTAAGAACTAGTTTGGTGTGATAGGGGGTAAACAGTTCTTTAATGAAATCATTTTGAAACAAAAAAAATCAATTCAATTGATCAATTTATTCATATATTCAACCATATCTAAGTTATTTGTGTTCAACATCAATACGGAAAGCCTCCTATGAATGTGAATCCTTATTCAAAAGCTCACCTACTTTCAAATTGGCCGCCATCTCGCAAAACTCATTTTAGGACCATTTAGTAGCCTTATAATTTCAAATCTTTGTTGATAAGATTTTCGTTATAATTTTTTTCAACACCAATACAGACCATCCCCCTTTGACTCCCGATTCAAAAGCTCGCTGCTTTTACTTTCATGTGTCTGCATTGTAGAAATAAATGCCACTGTAATTAGTTCTCTAATGAAATCATTTTGAAACAAAAAATAAAATCAACCAAATTCTTTCAAAAATTAAGCAAAACACTATATATGAGTGTTATAAATGTATATCTAGAACGACAAATGAGATTTATTCAATTTAACGCCATACATTGGAGCAGTTTTTTTTATACATCACAGGGCATCATTTTGACTTAGCTAAAAATCAATTGCAAACATATATCATATTAATATTATATTTTCTATAAACAACCACTTTACTACTCCAGTGCACGAAAATATAAGCTTTGTTAATGGTTACATTATCTTAGCATTATCTCATATTATAATATGAATTTCATATAAAGTTGGATGATTGTTTGATCATTAACTGATTATTAGCTTTTGATGTAATGCATTTCATATATTTTACATTGCCCAACATTGCACAAAGTTTTGATCACCAAGACGAATGTTATTTTGTGTACACATTTCTTAAACTCAAAGATCATTCATACGAAGGTTGTGTAATCTTAGTGATGTGACATTGTGTAATAAATTATAAAAAGATACGATGCTTTTGAAATGACAATTAATCTCTCTTAATATTTTATTTATTTACCTTGATATAACTAAGATTAAACACGTAATGTCAATGTAATACATTCTTGATTATGATAGTTTCTAACACTGTGGGTAAATAATTTTATTTGACTACTGATATTAGAGAGCTGGAAGTGTTTTATATAAGATTTGGGTCTACCGAATGCATACTTACCAGAGCACTGTTGACTCTATAAAGCCATCAGGTTTCGTTTTATGATAAATAGTAAAAATGAAATATGAATCCAATGTAGAGTGGGCCTATAACAATCACATGATAATTAGTATGAATATTTATATTTAAAGTCAAAAACAAAAAGTCGACATTTTTTAAAAATGTGTATTTCATTTTAATAAGTCTGTCAGAAATAAATCGTTAATAAAAACAAACAAATTAACATTTGATTAAGTCAAAGAAACAGTGATTTTTCTTGGCAAGTTATAATTGTTTCCAAAACTGGCAAAGTTTAAAATTCGAAAGTGAATTATGTAATCGTTATTATCATATAATTCTGCATACTGATTTTTTAAGTATACGAGGCCCGATCAGAAAGTAAGTAACCAACTACTCTTATTTTTTCATACTTTATTCAATCCCACTGAAGTTTTCACAGATGATGAAGGAAATATTAACTACTAAACCAAACCAAAATAGAAAATGTTAGCCTCATTACCATTGTCATGGCGGTTGCTATGGTAACCATTGTTTTTGGGTAGGCGGGGCACCCTTTTGTAAGCGGCTTTTGAAGATAATTTGTAGAATTTTCTTCATGGTTTATACCTCCAAATATATCAAATTCACATGTTAGTCTACATTCATAGTCCTTCGAAACAATCGCCATCTGAAAGTCAATGCATTTTCGGCAACGTTTCACTCTGTCCTTGAAAACGTGCAACGGGTCACTAATCAATGACTGGAAAGTGCTATTGAAAGCTTTAATCATGGCTTCATTTCTGTCAAAGACTCAAAACGGATGGGCTAGCATGGGCTAGCCGTGTGGACATGGAGAATACTTCATCTACTGCATTTTGGGTAATCTGGGTTCTGTGGGATGGAGTATTGTCGTCATGCCAGTAAAATCTTCCTTCAACCAAATTTGAATGTTTCCGTGGATTGAAACTGTGACTGAACCGTGACCATCATTATAACATACAGTACATGCCCTTGATTTCTTTGTGTTGATTATTCATAAACGAGACAATGTAATGTAGTCACCATGGTAATAATACATAAAAACTCTACAAAAGTGTGGCCCATATCCAAAACAATGGTCACCATAGCAACCATAGCAACTGCCACAACAATGGAATTGACGCTAACCCATTGTGTTTTGTCATGTTTGATAGGTTCATATTTTCTACATCATTTGGGAAAATGTCAATGTAACTGAATAAAATATGAAAAAATGAGAGCAGTTGGTTACTTACTTTCTGATCGGGCCTCGTACATATATATGCATTTGAATAATATCAATTAGAAATATATTCTCACAAATTTGGTAAAATTCAATCAATAGTTGCAGATATCGATTTAAATATGGTCCTGTAACCCGTATACGATTTGCGTTTATTGCAGCCTTTTGGCAGGTGACATACCGACATTAATCTATCGTTTTTGCACAGGGGATTTATGAAGTTGTATGTAAATAAAACATAGGGAATACACATATACCTTTCTTTTTATTTCCAGAATCGAATCTAGTACAGCACATCAGCCATGGAGGTCGTGAAAGGAATTAAAAGCGGCCTACAAAATATCAATGAACAATCAAACTTTTTTACGATATTTGGGTTTCTGGTGACAGTTCTCTTCATTCCAAGAGTTGCCATCACCTTAGTTGCTCAATCAGAATTCTTCAATCTGGGCACATATTTTAGATCAAAAGCCTGTCATTTTTATTTGTACAAAACAATTTCAAGGATGGTAATTTGTGTACAGACCTTTGTATAATTTACATACCCATGGTGCTCTTTTTGAATAAACGTTTTTGTTTGCTCAAACAGGTCCCACTGGCTCTGGAAAAACACAATTAGCCCTCCTCTACGCCAAGAAATTTACAAACAAAAACAATGACAGCACGTGCTTCTGTTTCAACTCATCAACCCCAGAGGACATCCTAGTTGATGGTAAGAAGTTAATCGATCAATGTAAACTGAACATTCAAATTTTTGACAGTGGTAGAGATGGAGAAGACAGTGCTAATATGACCAACAAAGCCTGGAGGTTGTTGATCCATATTCGTGATAAACTTCTTGAGGACAATAAAAAGGTTTTGTTTATTTTTGATCGTGCAAAGTTTGATACTGCTTCTATTGTCAAAGAAGTTTTTCTTAATCATAGTTATTTTACTGTTATAGTTACCTCAAGTGATGATAATGATGCATTTGTAAAAGGGTTTGAGAATTTGACACTCGAAGTGAAAGGTTATTCCAAGGCAGATGTTGATGCCCTCAATATTTGTCAATACAACCAATTCAAAGGCAAAGATATGCAAAATTTGGCAAAGAAGCTTGACTATTTGCCACTGGGAATACACGCAGCATGTCAATACATTATCGAATCTAAAGGAACCAAACCCAAGCTTCTTGACCAACTGAAGGGTGGTAAAGAGGATGCATTAGATAGCTTGTTTCAACTGTCACACATAAAGGCGTGCAAGGAATGTGAACAAGATGAAAAGGCCAAACTACTACTCAATGTTGTTGCTGCACTAAGCCCTGATCCGATACCCTTTGATGTTCTCGACTGGATGATAGGTAGTGGCAATGAAGACCCATTTCAAAAGAAAGCTGATCGTTCCATTGAATTGGATAAAATGGCAAAAAGGAGAAACAAGATAATCGATTCGATAACGAGATTCCATCTAGGGACAGTGGAAATAAAGGGATCTGATCTGATGGCTGAAACATTTTTTTATAAACTTACTCATACTATCAGCTATTGTTTTTCTTTCCAGTGTGGAATCACTAGGACTAGAGTTGTTACTGAGAAAGATACAACATCAATTTGATTAAAGAATAAGTGATTAATTATTCGTATTGATCTTGCTATATTTTACCAAATATAGTACATTTCTACCTTATTTCTCATCTTGTTTTTCCCTACTATGCATTATGTGCAAGTGGTATCCTGGTATATAATACTCAGTACCGCACCTTGCTAATTGATCTCTTATCCAGTTGTTTTTCACCAGTGTGGAGCATGTTCCATCTTACTGTTTTATTATATCAAATACAGTCTTTGCCACTTGATCTCTCAATTTGATCTCTTATCTCGTACATCACCATTGTGGAGCATGTTCCATTTTACTGTATCTCTATACCAATTACAATACGTTGCTTCATCAGATCTCTCATCTTATTCCACACCAGTGTGGAGTATGTCCCATCTAACTGTATTTTAGCAAATACAATCAGTGTGGACTATGCTTTATCTTGCAATATATGATTATACTTTGATCTCCCATTTTGTTTTGTTTTTACCAGGGAGTACTAATTTGAGACATAATATTTACAGTACTGTGTGTATATAGAATTTACTTAATGCATTTTATTCTTACTGTTAAAGTATGGAAGCAGCTTCATTCCAGTGTCTGACTTACTTAGCATACAATGATAAGAACTCTCAATATCTTTGACATGAAAATTGGAATAGGCATTTGGGGTTCATTTTTCATACATCTTTTATTCTTGTGTCTAGTCAACTCTCCAGTGAGGGATGGTATAGGTTAAAGGTGCAGGTATAACATTGCAATTATGGAGGGCCCGTATAGGATCCTACGACAGTTCTACTTATGCCCCTTCATCCAAACTTAAGACAGACTACACCCCAACTAATATGAAGTCAATGATTATTTTCATACTCATGCTAATGTTAATGGGTATACTATCTACAATTCTGATAGTAACTCTGAAACATTTTGCATACTGCTACGTAGTGGTAATAACACTGCTATTCATGTCACATTTTGTGCTCCTCTTTTGTGCTCTACCAGTAAGTATTGTTATCTTCATTATTAAAAATGTTAAACATTTCAATCCACTTGCCATGATTCAAGCTACTGCATTATTTAGCCTATTCTTATTGGTACCAGGCTCAGCAATATACCTACTGAATCCATCACTTGTTTGTCTACTAATTCTAGCGGGTGACATACATCCTAACCCAGGTCCCAAAACATGTGAAAAGATTTCCTTCCTCTTTTCAAACATTAATAGCTTACTTGCGGATTCAGGCTCCAGATTTGAAGACCTGAAGCAAAGAGTGACTGACTTGAATCCAAGCTTTGTAGGGTTGTGTGAAACTGGAAATATTGAAAATAGCCTTGATCTTCCCGATTTAAAGTTAGAACACTACCGAAATCCACTTTTCACTCCACTAGGTCGAGGACTTGTCATATATTCTCATGAAGATATTTCTGTTAAGCCTTATAATCATAATCTCTACATTAATAATCTTGATATCTTATTAGCTGAAATCTCTGTTGACCACAAAAAGATCATTTTCGGCATTTGTTATAGATCACCAAGTCAATCTGCAGAAGAAACTCGAATTTATTTTAACCGTTTACATCAGCAACTTGATATCATTAAAAACGATGCAAATAAATATGATCAAGTTTTACTCATGGGGGATCTCAATGCAAAAAATCCAGCTTGGTTTCAGAATGATGAAAATCTTGCTGGTGAATTACTTGTAGACTGTCTTGATACACATAATTTTATACAAATAGTTGACAAACCAACAAGGATAACTAGCACTTCAAAAACTTGCATCGATCATATCTTTACAAATTCACCAAACTCTATTGATTCTTGGTCAATCGATGCTCCTATTGGAAGATCTGATCATGGTACCCTTTTTACAACTTTAAATCTCAACTTTACAAAGAATCCTCCAGTTAAAAGAACTCTGTATCAATATGACAAAACAAATATAGCAAATTTAAATAATGAAATTAGACAAACTGACTGGGATAGTATCTTGACAAGTTCAAATGATTTGGATAAATGCACTTCTGATTTCATAGAGAAACTCAAATGTATATATCATGAGAAAATCCCAAATCACACTAAAACAATAAAATCAAATGATCAACCATGGTATAATGAGCATTTAAAGGTTGAAATGAATAAAAAACGACAGTTATATAAACGTAATGAAAAAAACCCATGTCCTTTAAATTTTGAACTCTACAGAAACCAGGCCCTTAAAGTTTCAAATCTAATATCCTCAGCTAAAATTCAACATGAAAAAAATGCCATACAAAAAGTTGAATCCTTAAATAAGAATGATAAAAACTTTTGGAAATTGGTAACCAAATTAATAGGGAGAAATAACACTTTAAGTAGTATTCCAGCTCTTTATGATACAAATGGAAAAACCTTAAATACAAACACTGACAAGGCAAATGGCTTTCTTAATTTTTTTGTGAATAAATATGACAACAATATCCCCGATGATTACAAACCCACCTTTCCAATGCGAACAAATTCCCTTCTTGTTTCGATTAGAACAGATGTATCCGAAGTTATGAAATTGATCCTAGGCCAAGGCTTGTGGCCCTGATCTTATTACTAATAAAATGCTCCATTTATCCGCTTCTTCAATATCTTATCCTTTGACTAAATTATTTAACATGTTATTACAGCATAGCGTATTTCCAAAATCTTGGAAGATTGGTAGCATTTGCCCAATCCACAAGAAAAATAACAAGTCAGACCTGTCAAATTATAGACCTATAACTCTTTTGGACTGTATATCAAAGCTTTTTGAAAGAATAATTGCAAATAGAATAAAACAGCATCTCATTTCAAATGACCTGTTATTCAAATTTCAATCTGGATTTTTGCCGGGTCACAGTACCCAATCCCAACTTGTTGCCATTGAACATCTTATCCAATCAAATCTTGATCAAGGTAAGGGAGTTAAAGCTCTTTTTCTTGATATTGCCTCAGCCTTTGACTGCGTACCTCACAATCTTCTACTACTTAAATCAAAATCATATTGTCTCCAGGGACAAGTTCTAAATCTCCTTAAATCTTATCTTTACGAAAGAAGAGTCAGAGTGAACATTTCAGGATCCTCATCATCTTTATCACAAACACATGCTATCAAAAGTGGAGTGCCACAAGGATCAATACTAGGGCCCCTTCTCTTCTTACTATATATAAACGACCTACCCGATAATATGAATACCGATTGCTTTATATATGCAGATGATACGTCTATATACTTCCCGTTTAGTACTAAAAATCCTTCAGAAATTGATAACAAAGTAACCCAAGCAATAGAAAGAATTGAATCATGGTCTATTAAATGGAAACTCAACTTTAAACCTGAAAAAAGTGTCGAAATAATTTTTCATAATTCCAGAATTAAACTTGGCCAAGTGAACAATTCCTTTATGAATAATGCTTTAATAAAAAGGGAAACATCGCATAAACATTTAGGCTATACTTTTGATGAGCACATGTCTAACAAACAACATATAATTGCCATAAGAAACAAAGTAAACAAACTCCTGAATCCTCTCAGATCACTGCAAAAGAAACTAAATTCCAATGTCCTCGAAACAATTTTCATGTCCTTCATTCGACCACACTTTGAATATGGCGCAATACTCTACGATTCCTCTACTCAAAGTGTCCTTAACATATTAAATAAATTATTCTATCAAGCTGCTCTTATATGCAGTGGATGTTTACATGGTAGTAGTTCAATTAAGGTAAAGAATACACTCACATGGCCTGATCTAGAAACAAGGCGGTCAATGCAAATAAATAAATTCATGTTTAGAGTTAAAAATAATCTCACTCCAAGCTATGTGAAAGACATCTTTGAACCTCTGAGGATTCAAAATCCCCGAGAACTCCGATCAAATCCTGATTTCAAAATACCTGCCAAAAGTTCAACCAAATTTAGAAACTCTTCTGTCCTCAATGCTATCTCCCACTGGAACAAGCTACCGAAGTATATTCGAGAAAGCAAAACAATTACCAGCTTCAATAACTTACAAAAAATTAAAATCCCTAAGCCCTCCTTTTTACCAACTACTAAATTAAAGTTAAAAAGAAATCAAGAAATAATTCTCAATAGATTCAGAGTTGACTTGCTCACTAAAGCTCAGCTATATGGCCATAATTTTACTTATATTGAAACACCAAACTGCGCTTGTGGTGTGCCTGAAACTCCAAAACATTTATTCTTTTATTGTCCAAATAAAGCACAAAATAGGAACACTTTTCTTGCACTTGTAGAGACTTACAAGCCTTTAGCTATAAGGAACAAAAGCCAATTTATAGATTTTCTGAAACATGGCAGTGACGAGTTATCGTTAGCACAAAATAATGAACTTTTTGCTCTTGTTGCCAACTTTTTACTGGAGAACTCTTAACATAATCATAATTCTCTATGGGACCCTCCAAGCAAGCATTAACTATGCCTACTATTCCCTCACTGAGACTATGACACATGACCCCAGCCTGTCCTATTTCCCATTTCTTATCCAAATTGCTGCTATTCTTCCATATTACATGCATTTACATTTGTAATTAAATTTATGTATTTTCTAGCTTAGCCTATAATGCTTTATAAGCGATTGGCAAGCCATTCTTGTAAAACATGATTATGATGAAATAAATTGATAATGTATAAAAAAAAAAAAATAACAAGATGCTACGTATGCATAATATTCCAATAAGAGCAATTCAAAAAAGCTGGAATGAAAACGAAAGGATCACATATTCTATAGAAATGCTATTAATCCTTGACGACCTTGTTGAGAAAGACATACGTCGTGCTAAGGATTTCAATTTCTTTCTCAAGCTGATTCCTCATGTAAAACTTGCACTGAGAACTGACTTGAAAGGAGCAAAAGACCAGGCTGTTGGTATCAATATTGTACAAATAAGTCTCCAAGATAAGCTACATTATATGTACTCACAAACGGGGCTGATAAGGTACTTTAATGTGAGCGATTCGAAAGCTAAACAGATGTGCTATTCCAAAATCATAGAAAAGGATGAAAATAGCCTGAATGCAGAAGCAAAAAAGAATTTGCCTGTTAAAGAAAATTATTGTATCACCGATACTAAATTTATAAAAGAGAAAGCCAAATTGATTAACGACAGAATGAAAAAAATACACATCCCTGTAAAGCCAAAAGACTTTCTTAAAGCGTTAGTATGTACAAGACGTCTCAATAGCGAGATAGTTGAACTCCTAAAGAAAAAAAAGAAAACTAGTCCGAAGAAACTTTCGAAAAAACAGAAAACAGAAAAGAAGTCTGATGGAGCTGTTGCGGGAAAATATTTGAAAGAAACCGGAAGTAAATCTGATGATGACCCCATAAAGATCAAATACAAGAAGTGGGTAAATCAAGGTGCTGCAATAAGTTTAAAAGAAATGAAGGATTTATACCTTATTGAATTTATGGCGAATATCCTCTACACGCATGGTCGTATGTATTTTTACAAAAGCAAAAACGAAGAGGAAGCGCAGGTTTATGAACATGACTTGCGCCTCGCTTATGAGCTATCTGTCATAATTAAAGAGGAGAGCGGCAAACAGATAGCCACGCTGCTTTTAGCAGAACGCAATGGCTTTCTATACACAGATGTTGATAGTGAAAATCAGGAGAGAATTGATACTGCAACAGAACGTTACAAGAAATTGTATAATGCAGATGGCGACTACTATGAGAAAGGTTTGCTGAAAATAGTTCCACGCGAGGACAAATATCATCATACAATATGCCAAAAGCAATTGCTAAATTGTTATATTGCCGCAGTTAAGGTCAAACGGGACCAGACAAAATATAAAGATGGATGTAAGGTAGCCGAAAAACTTCTTGACGGCACTAAAGATGAGAACTATCAGAGCAAGGCAGAAATCTACATAAAATTTGGGGACCTCGAAATGGCAATGAACGAACCTGCTGTCAAGAATAAAAAGTATTTGAATAACGCCATTGTAAAGTACGAAAAAGTCCTGAAGTTGGAAGATAAAGTACCCACTGTTAATCAAAGAGCCGACCGAAAGATTGAAGCACTGCAGAAGATTGCAGAATGTTTGTATAGACGCCATAGGAAGGATTGGAAAAAGGCGAAGAACTATGCAACAGGCAATGTTACTCCTGAAGATTTTGAATCTAATATGTTTAATATAAGAGGTTTTGGCAAACCAAAATATTCAACTAATGAGGGTAGAGGTCTCATTCTATGGGCCCATGATACTGTACAGATAAACATTTGTGATCTTAATATGTCAAATGATTTAGGTAATTGCTGGATTACTATTAAAGTTGAACATAAGATTTTCTTTTATGGATTCTTTTACCGTTCACCATCACTTACTGCGAATGAGACTAGACTATACTTATCAAGGGTCAAAGACAATATTTCTAATGTTTTATTGCAGCAGAATGATGGGATCATTATTAATGGTGATTTTAATGCTAGAAACAATGCCTGGTACGTTGATGATATTAATAATATGGCTGGTATAGAATTAAACAATATTTTGACTGATCTTGGACTTCAGCAACTTATTTTTGAACCAACTAGGATTACCAAACATTCTAAGTCATGTATTGATTTATTGATTACAGATTCTGAACATCTTATTTCAAGTTCAGTTGAACCTCCTTTAGGTAACTCTGATCACTGTGCTATCATTACTAAAGTTCGAGTCAATATTCCCAGGGAACCATCCATTAAGAAGACAGTATGGTATTATGATAGTGCTGATATTAATCTGCTAAATCAAAAAATCGCTCAAACTGACTGGAACTTTATCCTTGATACACAAGTCAATGATGCTGCGGTTAGATTTGTTAATTCTATTTTATCAATTTTCAAGGAAGTTGTTCCTAATAAAACAGTCTCCTCAAGGTTTGATGACCAACCATGGTTCACCAGTAAAATCAAAAAAGAGATATATAAAAGAAACAAATTGCATCATAAATTTAAATCTACAAATAATCCCATGTTCAGAGAAAAATATATTACGCAAAATCAACTAGTCAATCAACTAATTCATGAGGCCAAGGCAGAACATGAAATAAAAATAAAAAATAAGTTAGATAATATATCAAAAAATTCTATTAACTACTGGGTACTAATTAAAGAGCTTCTTGGAAAAAACCAAGTCTCCTCTATACCCATCCTTTTCAACCCAACATTAAATTCAGCAGCTGTTAATAGTATTGATAAAGCTAATGTACTTATGAAATATTTTGTCAATAAGAACATTGTAAATATCAATGACAATTATATTCCCTTTTTTAGACCAAGAACTCAAAGTATCCTAGCTGAGATGTCAACCTCACCTGAAGAGATTTTACATCTAATTAATGATATTGATGTCACTAAAGCACATGGTCCTGATGAGATATCCAATAAAATGCTCAAATTATGTGCACATTCTATAGCAGATCCACTTTCATTACTATTTAACAGAATTTTTCAAGACAACATTTTTCCTGACATTTGGAAAGAGGGTACAATAGTTCCAATATTTAAAAAGGGAGACAGAGCACTAGTTACTAATTACAGACCAGTTACTCTTCTAAGTTCAATCTCTAAAATCTTGGAATCTATAATTCATAAAAGACTATATTCTCACCTCGTGCAACATGATCTTATTTATAGGCTTCAGAGTGGGTTCTTACCCAAACATAGTACTGTCAATCAGCTTATTAATATAGTTCATGATATCCATGAACACATTGATGATAACAAGAATGTAAGATCAGTATTTTTGGATTTAACATCAGCTTTTGATTTAGTTCCACATAAACTATTAATTTCAAAACTTAGGGGATACGGTTGTAATGATAAATTTATCAATTTAATGTCATCATACTTAGATAACAGAAGAGTAAGAGTCCGCGTGAATGGCACCCTTTCAAAATGGTCTTCAAATAATATTAACAATCAAAATGAACCTAATGAGCAGTCTGTGAACTATACCATCAATGCTGGAGTGCCACAAGGGTCTGTCCTTGGACCGTTACTATTTCTAATTTATATAAATGATTTGCCAGATGAATTACTATCAAAATCGTTCATTTTTGCCGATGATACTTCCATTTATTGCCCATATGACAAAAATACAGTGTTTTTCAATATTCATCAACCAATTCAAAGTGATTTGGACAAGCTTGCTCTCTGGGCTGCCACCTGGAAGATGCAATTCAAAGCTCAAAAAGCGCCGATATCATTTTCTCTAGAAGAAATATTCCTTTTGACCCACCACCATTGAGATTAGGTGCAGATGTTATTCCCAGTTGTGAGAATCACAAACATCTAGGGCTTAATCTTGACAAACACCTTAACTTCAATTACCATATTGATCAGATTATAAAAAGAGTTACCTCACTCCTAAGACCAATGAAAAAATTTAGCAAACTTTTAAATAGTATGCACTTAGAGATAATATATAATACGTATATCATGCCACATTTTGATTATTGCGATGTAATTTACAATAAGGCTTCAAATTTGAAACTACAAGCTCTTGACAGACTACACTACCGAGCAGCCTGTTTGGTATCTGGTTCTATTCATGGATCCAATACTATTAAAGTCTTAAATTCTTTGAATTGGAAATCCTTATCCGTTAGAAGAATCGAGCACCTAAAAATGTTTGTTTTTAAATGCAGATATAATATCAACCCCCCGTTTATTTGTGATTTACTTCGTAAATATGAGCATATACCTGCCCGTAATTTAAGAGATCAAAGAGATTATTCTCTTCCAACTCGACTGAGCATGTCTTCTAAAAGAAGTACCATATTTCAGGCTATAACATTGTGGAATGATTTGCCACCTGATACTAGAAGGGGTCAACCTATTTCTAGTTTTAAAAGATTAGTGCGAGAGTACAAGAACCCTGTCTCTTTAATCCCAACTACTAAATTAAATGTGACCTTACCCAGACATCTCGAAATAAAACTTAATAGACTAAGATCTGGCCTCTTATTAAAATCACACCTTTATGCTCACAACTTCAAAGACATTACTGATCCTTTGTGCCATTGTGGTGTACCAATGACAACCATGCATTTTCTTTTAAAATGCCCACTGCTACAGAATGAAAGAAACAACCTCATTGCAGGCCTTCGTACTTACAATTTAAGTGACTTGTTCAATAACTACAACTTGAATGACAAATTACAATTTTTACTGTTTGGAAGCACTAACCTGGATGCTACTATGAATGAAGCTTTAATTCATATTGTTAGCTATTATATACATACAAGCCTTGTTTTATTATCTATCTAGTAGTAATTTGACAAGTCCTTTTTTCTGCAATGACCGAATTATTTTTCAAGTTCCGTTAACATCCTGGCCCATGGGATAACCTTCAGGTATTTTGAAATAACCTTAACAAATTTATCTTATTTCATTATCTAATATCTACATGTATATATAATATATATATTAAATTGCCGCTAATGTTGCAAAACCTTGGCAATTAGAATTTGTAATTGAATGTAAATGTTTATATTAGAAATAAATTGATAACATGAAAAAAAAACTATGCAACAAGAGCAATTGACATGTGTACGAAGGAAAAAATCAAAAAAGATACTATCACGAAACGTCAACATTTATTAGATGCAATGAACGATCCGTAAAATATCCAAATCTGTCTTTGTACAAACGGATATAAACATTTGATCATAGTTATGGAAAGAAGCCTTATTAACCAAGGACTTAGATTTAAAGAGATGGTATGACCATAACGAGATCACACAAAAATTAAAGTGGCAATACGTCACTAATAAAACCTTTCGATTAAACGAGTGTAACTAAAAGAAATCCTTTCGTACTTTAAGATAGAAAATGCTGAATCATCACTACACGTGGTAAATTTCAGTCGTGTCTGTTGTACATGTATATTATAGGAATATCCTATGGTTTTGAAAAAATATCATTTATATCCATGAGTGGATATTGATATCTTCATGAGTGAGCGCAGCGAATGAGTGAAGATATTTGTATCCACGAGTGGATATAATTGATATTTTTGAAAAACCATAGGATTGTCCGTTTATCCCATGGGAAATCATCATCAGCGAAAAAAGTTAAAAAATATAATTTGAGATAAAATTTGAAAAAATAATTTTAAAAAATTGTGAAAAAATGTTGAATTTTTTTTCGAAATTTTGAATTTTTTTAAAAATATTTTTGAAAATAATTAAAAATAATTTTTTTTTGAAAAAAATCGAAATCATCGAATATCACTTTTCAAACCATCGAATATCACTTTTTCAACCATCGAATATCACTTTTTAAGACGTGATATTCGATAGTTTAAAAGTGATATTCGATGGTTTGTGAATTTTTTGCTAAAATATGATATCTTGATCCACAAATCAGATATATCTTTGTGTGATATTCGATCTATATCCTTGCAACCATGGGATAATATATAATAATGTGTATTTTGTTATACAAAACCTGTATTTCACCTTTCTAGTTCAACAGTCATATATAGAGCAGAATCATGTAACTTTTGATGTAAGTAAAATGTAAAAAACACTTGCCTCAGTGCATGATATGTTTCTACGAAGTGTAT